CCTCTGCAGGCCTGGAGGGACGTGGCCCCAGTCCTGTCCCCTCTGCAGGCCTGGAGGGAGCTCTGGGAGGGACGTGGCCCCAGTCCTGTCCCCTCAGCATTGTTGGGTACAGGAATTCTAGAAAGACACACAGGCTCACATAGCACCAGACCCTGAAGGTTACCCAGGACACCAAAAGAGGCCTGTCCAGGCCCGGTCATGTTGGAACTGTTGGCAAAGATGGGCAGGAAGGGGGGGATTTGGTGGGTACAGAGACAGTGAAGATCCTTCCAGTACCCATAGAGAAACTGGAAAGGCCCCGAGGCTCCCTGGCATATTCTACCAGAACTCACATCTGCAATGAGATGATATGGCTGGTCATATTTCTCCAGGCTTCCCTGGGCAGCAGCCACAGAACCCCCCTGGTGACCAGTCCAGGTTCTGAGTACACCAGCATTCTGAGACAGCGGCAGTGGGCTCTCAGAGCAGGCGCCAGACGAGTCCTTGCTGAGCCCCTGCTGGCTGGCCATCCACCCTTCCCACAGGGTGTCTGCTAGCATGCGTTTTCTCTCTCCTAGCACTTGTGGCCTCTGGACATTGGTGGGACAGATGGTCTCACACCCCATCCAATGATGGTCATGATGATACCAGTTTTGTCAATGGCAGGAACAGAGAGCATGCAGATGTCCCTACCCCAGGCCAGTGTCAGTGCCCACCTTCCCCGGCAGCGCAGCTCTGCTCTGTAAACAGAACATCCATGCCAGCTATCTCCCTTCTTGTGCTCTAGGAAACCGGTGGTCCTGCTCTTTTCTCATTGGAAACAGTCTCATCAGGACAGCCAATCATGTTGCCACACTCTCCCTGTGGTGGGGGAGGTCATATGACTCAAATCAGCCAATCAGCAAGCTTCTGAACTAAAGGCCCTAGAGCTCTTACAGTGGTCAGTGTCTGTGAGTGACAATTCCTTCCCCTCAGGCGTCTTCAGCTGCCCAGTCTGGCTCTTTTGCCAAGGGGTCCTTCCACTTTAGAAGCTCCATGAGGCTCTGGGCTACTGGTCATCTCCTAGGACCATTATAGCCAGAGATTCAGCAAGGCAGCACCCTCTCCACGCAGGACTACAGAGAGGCCAGGCCGCCTGTGACGTGTGAGGTACCGTCCTGCTCACAGGGCGGGCTCCACCTGCTGTGCCATGGCAGCTGTCCAGTCGCCCAGTACAACCTATGAAGAGCGGTCCCAGGCACCAGGGAGGAGGGAAGGGAGTGGAGCCAAGGAGCCCAGAGTGCTGGGAGAGACATCCCTTGCTCTAGTGTACCCTCAGCATGCATGTTCCGGGAGACCAGGGGACCTGGTCCCCACTGTGCCTGCAGCATGCAGAACAGAGCTCTTGGGACAACTCTCAGTGAACAGCAGTGAGCAGTGAGCAATGCCCAGGCTGTCTGGCTCAGGGCCTCTCTGGTATGCCAAGAAACCGATGACTAATGTCCAATCCATCCTCTTCTGAAACAGATGGGCTTCTTACAGTAGAGTACTTACGCATCTGAGCTTTGGAGACAAGCCTAACCAGCAGTAGGGCCTGCTGTCCAGCTCAACAACTGTCACAGGCCTCAGTTTACCCCCCAACACATGGCACAGGAGTTTCCCTCTCTAAACTGCAAGGGCGGTAAAGCTTGGACTTGCTCACCCCTGCTGTCTCACAGGGCGGCAGCCCCTGGGAAGGGACCGCTGAGGATCAAGTGTGGCGTGTGGCACGCAGTATGCAGCACCTCCCCGAGAAGGTGAGACACAGCTGCAGCGAGGCCCTTGTCACAAACCCTGAGTCCTGGCACTGACAGCTCCTGGCACAGATGCCCAAGGCCTCGGGGAAACAAGTCGGTACAGTGAAAATACCACACCTGTCACTGGGAAGCAGAAATCACACATGACCTAGCTCCTGGAGAATCGTGTTTAGATGGAATGGCCACAGATGTGCTCCTTCCACAGGAATGGCTTGGTGGCCCGGGAGGACAGCTCGCCGGGGCTCTGCAGGCTCTCTCGTTAGCACAGCCAAGACCAGCAGCAGCGCTGTGCAGAGTGGAGAAGGGGGCCTGGCTTGGGAGGAGGCTCACTTTCCTCTGGATGTCCCGGGCACCCAACAGGAGGGTCCGGCCCCCACCATGCGCCCCTCCCTCATTCCCACCTCCAGGCCCAAGTCTCATTTCCACACACAAAATGTTCTCTCTTCTCTCTTAGGCATGTGGAACGTGGATCGATAAATTGACTTTTTGTTAAAAGTGAAAGCCACTGTTCAGGCCCTGAGGAGGCGTCCAGGCCCACGAAAATCCATCAGATCACATCTATGATGGGGGATTACAGCAGCCAAGGAGCTTCTGTGAGCGCCAGCGTTGCTCCCTTCCTGCCAGGCTGCTCTGCGTCCCAGCCCTGGGGTGCCTGCTGGTGGCAGAGACCCACTGATGGCACCAGGGGCAGGAGCACATCCCAGGATGTGGGCACACATGCAAGGAAAGGGGCGAAGTCCGTGGGAGCAGGCCGGGCTGTACACCTGTCGGTGTCTACCAGGATGGCTTCCAGGAGGGCCACAGCAGTACAGGGCACCGTGGTGGGGCGAGGGCACCGTGGTGGTACAAGGGTGTGGTGGTGGTGGTGGTATGTGGTGGTGGGGAGAAGGCGCCGTGGTGGTAAAGGGTACGGTGGTGGTGGTGGGGAGAAGGCGCCGTGGTGGTAAAGGGTACGGTGGTGGTGGTGGGGAGAAGGCGCCGTGGTGGGGTGAGGGTACGGTGGTGGTGGTGGTGAGGACACCGTGGTGGTAAAGGGTACGGTGGTGGTGGTGGGGAGAAGGCACCGTGGTGGGGTGAGGGTACGGTGGTGGTGGTGGTATGTGGTGGTGGTGTGAAGGCGCCGTGGTGGGGTGAGGGTACGGTGGTGGTGGTGGTATGTGGTGGTGGGAGAAGGCGCCGTGGTGGTGGGGCGAAGGCGCCGTGGTGGTGTGAGGGTACGGTGGTGGTGGTGGTATGTGGTGGTGGGGCGAAGGCGCCGTGGTGGTAAAGGGTACGGTGGTGGTGGTGGGGAGAAGGCGCCGTGGTGGTGGGGGCGAAGGCGCCGTGGTGGTGTGAGGGTACGGTGGTGGTGGTGGTATGTGGTGGTGGTGCGAAGGCGCCGTGGTGGTAAAGGGTACGGTGGTGGTGGTGGTGCGAAGGCGCCGTGGTGGTAAAGGGTACGGTGGTGGTGGTGGTATGTGGTGGTGGGGAGAAGGCGCCGTGGTGGTAAAGGGTACGGTGGTGGTGGTGGTACGTGGTGGTGGGGCGAAGGCGCCGTGGTGGTAAAGGGTACGGTGGTGTGAGGGCACCGTAGTGGAACCTGGCTCCCAGGGAATTTCCCACAGCAGCCCTCACACAACGCTTTCCGTGGAGACAGGTGGGTGTGAAGGAGGCTGCCTCTTCAGAGGGTCTTGGAGAGCAGCGAAGGGCAGGGCAGTGGAGGAATGGGGTGGCAGGTGGCGGGGCAGCGAAGGCCATTGTCCTGCAAGTGCTGAGCCTGGATAGCATGATAACGTCTGCTGGAGACAGACCTTCGGACAGACACTGGCTGGCCTTGAATACCCAGGGACCTCAGGAGCTGAGAGTAGGGGGAGGCGGGCAGGGCTTCATGCCCAGGCTGAGCTGGGTGGTACGCAGGCCTGGGGCGGAGCTCAGGCCCTCGCAGGTGAAAAAAGGAAATGACTCTGGCCCCTCTGAGCACTCCTCCCAGGGCTCAGCCTTGAAAGTCCCTGGGTTGGAAAGCCCCAAAGGGCCACAGCTACTTGTCAGGTTAATTTACAGTGTTTGGATTCCTTACAGAATAATTACCTCATTGATTTGCTGTTGGGCTGTTTGTCTCTTTTACTTTCAGATCAGAAAAGATAGACTGTAGCTACAGTGACTTACAGTGTCAGCAGCCCAGTGTCTGCGCCTCTCTAGAGCGTCCACACTGACCGCGAGGGGCTGCCTTGCCCTGCCAGCCCGCTGTGCAGGGCGCCCCAGGCTGGGGGAGGGCCCCGAGGCCTGGGCCCAGGGTGAAGCCCACCCCCACTGTTCCTGGGAGCCAGGCTTCCTTGTGCACGGAATGCCAGGCACAGCTGTCCCACCACAGAGTGCAGGGTGAGTCTGGGAGCTGATGTGGAGGACAAAGTGGTAAAGGGGGTCACCATCCTGGAGCTGCAGAGCCCAGGTCCAGGCTGGGGACGTTAAGGTGGTCTAAGCCATCAGCAGGCTCTAATCTTCCATGCCAGGAGGCTGTGTTCTGTGGAGCCCCGTTCACGCAGCAGCGCCACCAACAGGTGCTATTCCCCTTCTGGGCTGAGAGCCAGGAGCCTGGAGTACTGGATCCCCCCAAGGTGTGAATCTGCTGAGTGTCCCTCTCCCTTCTGTGCCCCTCCACACGGCCATCCCTGGACACCAGCAGAGCCTCCCTCTCCCCTCCACACGGCCATCCTGGACACCAGCAGAGCCTCCCTCTCCCCTCCACACGGCCATCCCTGGACACCAGCAGAGCCCTCCCTCACAGGGGCCACACTGTGTCAGGGCTTGCCCCCGGGGCCCCTGGGATGAATGGGCCACCAAGCGAGGCTGAGACACCAGGGCTGCCTGTGACCTCACAAGGACATGGGCGATGGGTTGGTAATGGGAAGAGATGGCTCACTGACCCTCCAGCAGCCTCCAAGAGCTGCACGGGGCAGCTCACGTGGACTTACTTGAAGGCACTGGGGTCCCCGTGTATTTTGTAGTTGTCAGCGCTGATCTGGGAAATAACTCTGGTGACGGCGACGAGGATGCCCACGTTCACCTGCAGGGGAGGAGCAGCTGAGGTCAGGGCCACCATCTGCGGAGCCAGACCCAACTCCCTGTGCGGCTGCAAAGACCCCACCCACCCCCTGCACCAGCGGCACTGCCAGCCCAGGCCTTGCTGAGGCTCCTCTGCAGAAACGGCCTTAGCCAGAGCCTGGGGCATGTTCCATGCCTCCCCCTCTCCCCCAGCCCTTGGACTCAGAGCTCAGTCATTTTCCACTCCCAGCCCTCCCCCCAGAAATCAGCAGGAGCCTTATGTTGAGCCTTTCATAGCAAGACAATTCCCAGGCTGTGCTGAGGCTCTGGGCTCCACTGGCTGCTTCTGGGGAAATGGGACCCATGTGAGCCGGCCCCTAGCTCTCGCTCTGTCCAGCCTCCTGTTTATCCTATGGCAGAAAGTGGACAGACACGTCCTTGTCACTTCCCCTGCATGCTGCATCTTCCCAGCAACTCAGTTCTGCTCATTTCCCCACAGAGGATAGCGCCCCCCCCACTCTGTGAGGGTAGCACCAAAACTGCCCAAAAGCTGGGGGGGACAAGAGACATGAATAGGGGAGCAACCAACACGGCATTGCAGGGAGAAAGGGGGGACATGCTGATGGTCACAGTGACAAGGAAGCCACAGTCACTAGACATGGAGGGGCAGAGGGACAGCAGCCCCCCCCATCCAGCCGGGATGGGGGGCAAAGGTGAGAAAGCGACTTAGTGACTGCTTCAAAGACAGACATCCGTCCACATCCCCAGGGGCCACTGAAGCCCAGTACAGCTCGCGCTCTTCAATCAAGCTGCTGCTGGCCTCAGGCACAGAAGGCCGGTGTCACGGGCAGGTGGACAGGGAACAGCCCTGGGTCAAATACCATAGGCCCTGCTGTTCTGAGATTCAGTGTTTTCTCTTAGAGAAAAAAAAAAGCTTCAGTTTGTATGCCATGGGTTCACTTCCACAGTTCTAAGTGAGAACAGCAATTGCAGCTGTCCCCTGTAGCTTTTCCTGGGGCAGGGAGCACATGGACCCTTACTCTAAAGGTTCTGCCTTCCACTTTGGAAATCTACATCTGGACACCCCACTGCAGGTGGACCAGAGCAAACAACCTGTGTGTCCACCTCCCTGCAGACTGGCTGCTGAGCGGGCCCTCACCGTCGGTGGCTCTTCCTACACGGTGAGGGACGCGATGGCACTGCCCCAGGGGGGGCCTGGCTCTGACGGTGCACGAGGAGTCTGCGTAAACCCCCTGGGACAGGGGGGCCCGGCTCTGACAGTGCACGAGGAGTCTGTGTAAACCCCCTGGGACAGGGGGGGCCCGGCTCTGACGGTGCACGAGGAGTCTGCGTAAACCCCCTGGGACAGGGGGGGCCCGGCTCTGACGGTGCACGAGGAGTCTGTGTAAACCCCCTGGGACAGGGGGGGCCCGGCTCTGACGGTGCACGAGGAGTCTGCGTAAACCCCCTGGGACAGGGGGGGCCCGGCTCTGACGGTGCACGAGGAGTCTGCGTAAACCCCCTGGGACAGGGGGGCCAGGCCGGCTGCCTCCCCAGGGAGCCTGGGAAGCACGGCGCATCGCCACGTCTTAATTGAAAACCTATAAATTATTAGGGAGACAGCTGGCCACTTGTGTCCCGTTTCTCAGCTGTGTCCTGTGGCTGGGGAAGGTTTAACCAGTGTCCGGTAAGAGCGGGGCCGGGAAGCCTGGGACCGGCTGAGGCTGGGCAGCCCTGAGTTCAGGGTCTCGTCATTGCCTCTGGGTGCCGTGAAACCAGCTCTGCACAGGTCGACCAGATGCTAAGAGAGTACACAGACCACTTCTTCTGAGGTAGGGCTGCCAAGAGGCGCTCACAGGAGCCTCAGCACTTCACACAGGGATCTGTTCAAGACGTCAGGGCCCTGATGTCTCCCACACTGTCTGTGAGCCACACACACATTCCTCCTCCTCCCGGGTCTGTCTGGTTTGATGTGGAAGCTGGTCTGGTCCTGTGTGTGGTAGTGTGGGGGTAGAGGCCGTGGCTCCAGAGGACGCCCGGACCTGCACCTGGGGGTCCGAGGGGGATTTTATGGAGGCCCTGTGCTCGACTCCGGTACCTCGGCCCCCACCTGGCACACGTGTTCTAGTAGTCCTGTATAGGGCCTGGGGCATCTCATGGGTTAGCATCCCCTACCAGAACTGAGACATACTCTGATGGCTGACATCAAAGAAACAATTCACAGCCTGCATTTCGGAAGGAATAAGACACACACTCACAGGCAGCCGAACTGGCACAGCACCCAGGCGGCGGTGACCTCTGGAGGAGGAAGCGGGTTGGGCCAGGCGCTTTCTCCATCTGGCTCAGGGTCACCAGAATCTTACCAGGAAAAGGACGTATGTGCATACATGTATGCACACACACAATGTCCATGTGTACTGTGTCTCTATGCAGGAATCTGTGTACAACTATAGTTGTTACCTCTGTGTGTCTGAGTAGCTGTGTGTGCTCACAGATCTGAGTATCCAGCTCTATCTGTCTTTGGGTCTCTGCATCTGCTGGTGCCTATGCTACAACTGTAACTATGTTGGCATTTCTGTTTCCACCTGTACCTGTAGTTATAGGTCTGCATCTAGATGCAATATTATCTTCATCTCTCTGTGGGTCTATCTGGACTTGTGTAGTCATGTCTGCAATTAAAGGTACATCTATGACTCTGTATCTACCTACTCACCTGAATGCCTGTTATGTGTGTTCTGCATCTAAATGTCACTCTAAACGCAGCCACCTTGGCCTCTCTGAGTAGATGAGCATTTTTGAGTCATAGAGACCCCTTTCTTCCCTGGCCTGGAGGCACCGTTGTCCCATGGGGACATAGGCCAAAATGCTTCTGCTCTCCGTGGAGCCCCTCTCTGGGTGGGGACAGGGAGGCCTGTCGAGTAGAATTGGGTGTGCCCCCCTCATAACTCCAGAATGTGACTGTACTTGGAACAGGGTCTTTAGAGAGGTGATTGTGTTAAAGTGAGATTAGGGTAGGCTCTAATCCAACAGGACTGGCGGTCACACAAAGAAGGGGACCGTGTGAGGACACAGGGAGGGGTCTGGTGCACTGACAAGCCCAGGCCAGAGGCCCTGGGGAAACCAACCTTCCATCACTTGGAACGCGAGACTTCTGCCTTCCCAACAGTGAAGGAGTAATTTCCTTATTTAAAGCACGTTGTCACAGCAGCTTGGGCACTCAGAGCACTGGGTGGGACCGAGAAGTCAGGGAGGGAGTGCGTGTGTGTCTGCCTCCAGTCAGGTGACTTGGGGCTGCTACTGGAGGATCTGGTTCTACCCTGTCCTCCGCAGGAGAGCGGAGGCCCCGGTGGCCTACGCTGTTCCCTGCATCTTGCTTTTGCCGTATGGACCTCCTAGGGCACAGGGACGCCAACTAGCCTGACACGCAGTGTAGGCTTCCACGTTCTAAAACCGCTTTAGTTTAAAGCTGTGTGAGCAGCATGGGGTGTCTTAAGATGCTCATACTGTGAAGCCGCCCTCCCCGAACCCTCACCTCTCACCAGGGAGCCCCTCGAGGGAGCTCCAGCCTACATTTTCTTGTCCATTATGCACTTGGGCGAGAACACGTGCCCACAGAGAGCTTTTACACAAATGGGGTCGGGCCACGCTTGACATCCTGAGCCTGCTTTCTTCATGTGGAGGGAGGGAAGGCAGGGATTCCTGGGTAAATGGGAACAGGGATCCATCCTCTGAAGAGGGGGCACAGCACCGCCCGTGGACCAGCACGCGCCCCGATGGTCTGCAGGGCCCGCCGCAGCACCCTCAACTGTCCCTGCCAAGGGCTAGGAAATAAGTACCATCAGCTCTGAGGGCCACAGCCACTGCTGCAACGTTCATCCCAGGGCTGTGTCTGAGAGCAGCTGCAGCGGGCCTGGCCTCAGAGCTCCAGGGCGGCCTCTCCCCTCCACTCCCATGATCTGGGCAGGGGCCTGCAGACTTCACACAGCACAGAACTCCCCAAAACCTGGAGCAGTCACACAGACCTATGATGCCTTTCCAGAATTATTGGTGATGGTGCTCACCGTCTGGAACCCAGGCCCGCAGAGCTCCCGCGGGCTCGGCTGGGACCCAGCCCAGCAGGTGACCTGGTCACCAGCAGCTCACAAGGGCCCCTCCCACACTGCCAGCATGTCAGAGAACATGACTCTTACTGGGGCCTCTCTGGTGCCCATGGACCCTTCAAAGCCCCTGTCACCAATAGGACCCCGTGTGGGGAGCCCAGCAAATATAGGAGGAAGACAGGGGTCATGGGAAGGCCTCCCATCCCACACAGCAGCAAGGACAATGAGAGCCACCACCACGGCCCTCACCCCCAGCGCTGTCCCTCTGCAAACCCTTCAGCCAAGAAGGCTGTGGTGTGTGTGTGGCACCAGGGGCATCTGAGCAGAATCTCAATGAAGAAGGAATAAAGAGAACCTCTCAGCATCTCTCCTGGAGTCACTGCTAATTGTCCACCCAACGCGGACAGTCACAGGAGCTGGGAACCGACGGGGAAAGGAGCAGGTGAGGCGAGAGAAAACGGGCTGGCTGTGACATCCTCCCAGAGGAGGGGGTCCTCAGACAGCCTTCATCTGCTGAGGTGAGGTCAGATGTGTGACCGGGCCTGGAGGACAGTCCCTAGCCGCTATCAGGCAGGGCCTGAGACAACCAGGTCATGGAAGGGCTGAGTGTCTGGGTGCTGCCCCATTCATCATCAATTTGCCTTGGTCCCTGTGACTGAGTACCCGGCCCTCACCAAAGGTTAAAGGGAAGAATAGGGCATCCAAGAACCAGTTGTGCGTCAATCTGGATAAAAATCTCTATCTTGGGTACCAGTGTTCAGAGCACCTCAGGAGTTTACGCTGAGAACTCACATAGCCATGATCGAGACCACAGTGACAGAGAGAGGGCTCTTGCTGCAGACCTCTGCTTCCTTGAAGGCAGCAGGCCAACACAACAGCACAGCATGGAAAGACATGGGTGGTATGCCCTGCCTGACCCCTCTGACATCACGCCACGCCAACCTCAGCACCGAGCGTCTGCCCGGGATGTGAGTGCAAGGGAGCAGGAGAGGACGTGGACCCAGACTCCAGAGCAGCAACCATGGAATACCAGTTACACGGAGTGCTGGCCAATCAGAACATCCTCCTCCTCAGGCTCAGCAAGGGCCCATAAGAGGTGACCTCTAACCTGGCTCATCAGGAAGGATGAAACTCAGCCCTAAGAATGTTGTGATGGCCGTGGTTTCTAGGATTCCGTGGGAGCCGTGGCTGCAGTCACTATGATTCTGTGGGAGCCGTGGCTGAGGTCTCTAAGATTCTGTGGGAGCCATGTCTGCTGTCTCTAGGATTTGGTGGGAGCCGTAGCTGCAGTCTCTAGGATTCAGTGGGAGCCATGGCTGAGGTCTCTAGGATTCCGTGGGAGCCGTGCCTGCGGTCACTACGATTCCATTGGAGGCATGCCTGCGGTCTCTAGGATGCTGTGGAAGCCGTGGCTGAGGTCTCTTAAGATTCTGTGGAAGCCGGGGCTGCAGTCTCTAAGATTCCGTGGGAGCCATGGCTGCGGTCTCTAGAAGTCCATGGGAACCGTGGCTGCGGTCTCTAGGAGTCCATGGGAACCATGGCTGCGGTCTCTAGGATTCCGTGGGAGCTGTGGCTGCGGTCTCTAGGATTCCATGGGAACCGTGGCTGCGGTCTCTAGAAGTCCGTGGGAACCGTGGCTGCGGTCTCTAGGAGTCCATGGGAACCATGGCTGCGGTCTCTAGGATCCCATGGGAGCCGTGGCTGTGGTCACTAGGATTCCGTGGGAGCCGTGGCTGTGGTCACTAGGATTCCGTGGGAGCTGTGCCTGTGGTCTCTAGGATGCTATGGAAGCCGTGGCTGTGGTCACTAGGATTCCGTAGGAGCCGGGGCTGCGGTCACTAGAGTCTATGGGAGCCGTGGCTGCGGTCGCTAGGATTCCGTGGGAGCTGTGGCTGTGGTCTCTAGGATTCCATGGGAGCCATGGCTAAGGCCTCTAGGATTCCGTAGGAGCCGGGGCTGCAGTCACTAGGATTCTATGGAAGCCGTGGCTGTGGTCACTAGGATTCCGTGGGAGCCGTGGCTGTGGTCACTAGAATTCTATGGAAGCCGGGCCTGCGGTCGCTAGGATTCCGTGCGAGCCGTGGCTTTGGTCTCTAGGATTCTGTGGGAGCTGTGGCTAAGGCCTCTAGGATTCCGTAGGAGCCGGGGCTGCGGTCTCTAGGAGTCCGTGGGAACCGTGGCTGTGGTCGCTAGGATTCCGTGGGAGCCGTGGCTGTGGTCTCTAGGATTCTGTGGGAGCCGTGGCTAAGGCCTCTAGGATTCCGTAGGAGCCGGGGCTGCGGTCTCTAGGATTCCGTGGGAGCCGTGGCTGTGGTCACTAGGATACTATGGAAGCCGGGGCTGCGGTCACTAGGATTCTGTGGGAGCCGTGGCTGTGGTCTCTAGGATTCTGTGGGAGCCGTGGCTGAGGCCTCTAGGATTCTGTGGGAGCTGTGGCTCCGGTCACTAGGGTTCCGTGGGAGCTATGGCTCCTGTCACTAGGGTTCCGTGGGAGCCGTGGCTGCGGTCACTACGGTTCTGTGGGAGCCGTGGCTCCGGTCACTAGGGTTCCGTGGGAGCCGTGGCTCCTGTCACTAGGATTCTGTGGGAGCCATGGCTGCAGTCACTAGGATTCTGTGTGAGCCTTGGTTTCGGTTACCAGAGTTCTGTAGGACCTGGGTGGTCTCTATTTTGGGGCCACTGCACCTTGGAGCAAGAGGCAACCCAAGTGTCATCCTGCCCATGAATGGAGTGGGGAATAGAAAAGACACTGCAGGGAGTATTTCAGCTCTGTTTCAGCTCTTACCAGCTTTGCTGTCACTCACAACCAGAGGAATCCTAAAAGTGATGTGTGTGGCTCTGCTAGTACCACTGCCCACTCCCACAGCCTGGGGAGATCGAGGCTGGAGTTCTTGCAGAAAGGGGAAGCACCCACACTTCTCTGCACTAGGCTAACACACGCTGCGGGCCCTGGTGAGCAGGCCTCCCTCCCCAGCAGGCAGGCCCCAGAATCATGCCCCTTGCAAGACTGCAGGAAACCAGGCTAGAGTCACCCACCCCAGGGAGCCATGAGGAGAGAGGCTGAGTGACAATGCACTGCTGTGCCCTTAGTGTGTCCCAGGAGCCCAGGGTCATTGCACAGCCCACTTTTGCCCATGGAGACCTACCACAATAACCAGCAAGGCAGGGCCCACAAAGGCCCAGATGGCGCCAGTCCCCAGCGACAGCCAGCAGCTGTGGAGGGAAGAGAAGAGTTAATATCAGCGGCTTCACCTGCCATGCTATGGGTTTGACCAGGGTCCCGGGGGCACAGGCAAATGATGCAGTGGCCCCCACTGAGAGAACCTTCACCTCGTCAGGCTGTGGCAGTCTCCCAGGATTTCCCAGAACTGCATGTCAGGTCAGAACCCTTTAAAAGTGCTGGTCAAACCCAGAGTTAGTTTTCCTTGAAGTACCAAAATCAACATGAGCTTGCCAGGACCAGAGCCAGCACCACTGTCCTCGATGAGGGCCCAGAGGACAGACGAGGAGACTGTGGCCCTGGCCACCCTCCCAGGGGCTGCTGGTCCGACACTGTCCTGCATGGTCCCCAACCTACAGGAAAGGTCCAGCCCATCTGACACTTTCCCTAGCATCCTGAGACACAAGAGGCCAGGATGTGAGATTCTTCCTGGCTTTGAGATGTGTGGCTAGAACTCAAGCAACACAGCTCCCTTAGATTCTGTGTCCTTCCACGCCCAAGGTACCACGTGGGATTCTGTGTCCTTCCACGCCTATGGCACTGTCCAGAACCCAGGGCCCCTAGGATGTATCACCTTCCAGACTCCTGAACACCAGCTACAGTGGCAAGATGGTGGCATGGGTCTTGGACCAGATTCCCTTTTGTGACCAAGCAAGAGATCTTAAGACCTACCCACTTGGGGCAAGTGTGTTCACCAATGTGTTGACTCAGATATAATGTAGTGGGCAAAGGCTGTGTACTTACTAACTACCCAGGAAAGGCCTCAGGATCTCAAACTTGGGCTGTCTGGGTGCCTAGACCTGTAAGTCTGAGCAGACTACATGCATGGAAAAGCTCCAGTCAGGAACTCCTACCAGCCCCACTCCATTCCTGGGCACCATGACACCTGTGTTGCTAGTCCCAAGGGCACAGCTGAAATGGTTTCTCCCTGCCTCTGGCCCAGGCCTTTCTTACTGTCAAGGCCTGGGGTAGCCCCCAGGGGCCTACCTACACCCACATGCACCTGTATGGACAAGGTCTACAGGAAGACCCGCCCCCAGGGGCCTACCTACACCCACATGCACCTGTATGGACAAGGTCTACAGGAAGACCCGCCCCCAGGGGCCTACCTACACCCACATGCACATGTACAGACGAGGTCTACAGGAAGACCCGCCCCCAGGGGCCTACCTACACCCAGATGCACATGTATGGACAAGGTCTACAGGAAGACCCGCCCCCCAGGGGCCTACCTACACCCACATGCACACGTATGGACAAGGGCTACAGGAAGACCCACCCCCCAGGGGCCTACCTACACCCAGATGCACATGTATGGAC